ATATTTCGAGATTAGCAAATCTTACAGAGCTCCTTGGGCTAAAGCTCAGTTTGGGGTCGTGGTGTGCAGCCCGGCCAATGTAACTTGGGGGGGGGTCTCACCATCCCAGTCCACCCCCCTGCCATGTCCCCATGGATTGCACTGAGCTGCAAATGCTTCCTCTTCTATGGAGGAGATGGGGCAAGGTCTGGGCTCAGGACCAGGTGTGGGGCTGCAGGACCCCCACGCTCACCTGGGTGCCCACCCCACACTGCTGAGGAGCAGGACTGACCCTGTGATTTCCCTGCCCTCCCCTTCCCAGCCTGCTTGGAAAATCATCAATTTCCTCCATATTTTTATCAAGTAGCAAACCAGCTCCCCACCGGCTGCCCTGGCCCTCTCCAGCATTGTCCTGTGCTCCCTGGGGCGAGCCACCGTGACCCCCAGCATCATCACCTGGTCCCCCATGTCCCCAACACCCCTGGTACCAGCAGGTCGCTGAACCCCAACACTACGGGGAGGGGATACCCAGGACTTTGCAAAAGCCACCCAGGAGGTTGGACTCCGGTGCCACCACCTGCCTCCAGACGTGCCACGAGTTGACCCTCTCCAGCATTGTCCCGTGCTCCCTGGGGCGAGCCACCCTGACCCCCAGCATCACCACCTGGTCCCCCATGTCCCCAACACCCCTGGTACCAGCAGGTCGCTGAACCCCAACACTACGGGGAGGGGATACCCAGGACTTTGCAAAAGCCACCCAGGAGGTTGGACTCCAGTGCCACCACCTGCCTCCAGACGTGCCACGAGTTTCCCAAGCTCAGCTGAGGGCTGATTCTGCACCAGGGCCCTGCCTGTGGGGGGAAAAGGAGGAACAAGCACTTTGAACTGAGCAGAAAATGGGGTGACAAGGACCTGGAAGCCAAATCCAGGTGCATCCAGATGGGAAATCAGCCATAGGCTTCGCACGCTGCAGGTGATTAACCCTTGAAACATGCTCCCAAGGCCGAAATGGCCCAGAGCTGGCATTTCAGCCCAGGACAAGTCACTGGCTCTGCATGGGAGGGACTGGGGATGACCCCGTGCTACACCTGAGGTTGGGCTCTGCGGCTCGACCCTTTCCATCTATGGATGCCCTCCTGGAAACAGCGATGCCAGCCCTTCTGGGAGCCTGTAAACTGAGACGTCTTTGCGCCTCCTGACCATTAAACGGCCTCAGAAAGGAGCAGTTTCCCTGCATGATATTTGGAAGTGGGCTGCAGCCCAGCACCAGTCCTCCCTGCCCACCCGCTGCCCAACACCACCTCCAGGAGATCCCAAAGGTGGATTGGAATGCTTGGGATTAAAACCATCAGGTGGAAGGAAGTGGGCAAATTAGCTTTGTTTTCTAACCCCTAGGAGATTTGTAGCTCCCTCTGCAACCATTGTGCAAGAAATTGTCCCTAAAGATTTTTTCATGCAAAAAGGGGCAACCTTTGGGATCTGTGGCTTGGACTTGGGCTCCCTACACCCCAACAATTAGAGCAGGGCTGGCTTTGGGGAACAGGGGATGCATCTTGCCAAAAAGCTGTGATTTTAGTGTCCCATGAGGGTTGACATCTCTTCTCCTCACCTGGTCTGGGGCAGCTTTGCTCCCAGTGCTGGGCTGGAGTGTCCCAGCTGGCTCTCAACCCCCTTGTCCCAGAAGTTCCCCCTGCACATTGCCGGGGGGAACCCCCCCCCACAACCATGAGGGAGAATAGGAGCAGGCAGGGGATGTTACATGGCACCAGGTTTTGGGGAGCTGGGAGTGATCACCAGGCGCCAAACAGGGCAGTGAGCGAAGCATCAGTGTCAGGAATGGTGCAAACACAAGTGAGCTGAACACACACATCCTCAGCCTGAGCACAAACTGCCCCACAGCCAGACAGGCAGAGAGAAAAGTCTCTTGGGAGGAAGGTCCCCTCTCCCGCAAGGTCTCCCAGAGACACTTCTTTGCTCTAATGCTGCCATCCAGTGGGAGAAACTCCCTGGGATGGGAAAGGCTGGAAAGGAAGGTCTTGGGGTCCCCAACCCAGGGGTGGGGCACCCACCACCACCTTGGGCTGCTCTTGGGGACCTCCCCCACCAGGGATGCTGCAGGTAAACTCCAGCCTCCATCTCCAAACCCCAACCTCAGCCTGCCCATGATGGGCAAAATAAAAACCACTCACTCTCTGCACTCTCGAGCTGCTCCAGCATCTTAATGCCCTCCCAAATCACAGCACCCAGCGAGGGGACGGGGAAGGGGTGATGATGCACCAGGAGGAGGTAAAAGGCAGCAAGCTGAGCCTTCCTCAAGAGGAGGAGGAGGCTGCAGTGCAAGCAGGGACCCAGTGGTGAGGACACCCCCATCCCAGTGCGATGGGGCCCCGTGGGATGCTCACAACGGTGTCCCCCAGTGTGGGATATTTGCAGTCTGAACACGCCACTCCTGCAGAAAGCCAAATTCCAGCGTGTATTCATCAGCACTGAGGAAAGAAATGCAAAAAAAAAAAAAAACCAAACACAAAACTCCCCGGGTTCAGGAACTCTCCTCAGAAGCGAAATGACTTTGGCAACAGCAACAGAGCAGCACAAGGGCAAGTGTGGCATCTGCGGTGGCCAGCGGCCCCGAGGGTCCCACAATGTGCCCGTTTGTTAGCCCGGTGGGCGGCTGGCTTCCCGCAGAAAGGAGCTTTCAGTGGGAATATTCAAGAGTTCAAACCCCTTTCAGCAGCGCAAGGTTTGCTGGATTGTGCCAGGGGCACAAAGGGACAGTGTTTCCTCGGGAGCGGGGAGGTTTCGTGGCTGGGAACACGGCTCTTTTCTTCCCCGCACAGAAGCCGCCTGAGCAAGGAGCATCGAGGCAGCATCACAGCCACAGACTTACCTTAAAGGGAGAACACAGAAAAGATTTGTGTATAAGGGGAGGAAAAAAAAGAAAAACCAACCAACCAAAGAATTTGGGGATTTCTTTTGGCTAAAGGCAGCAGCTGTTTTCCCAAGGTTGCTCCAGTTTCCAGGAAAGCAGGGATTTTCCTCCAAAATCAAGGGGGGGAAAACCCCTAACTTTCAATTTTCCCTTCGTGCCAAGAGGAAACTTCTCCTGGGAACAAGCCCTGTGAGCAAACAAACACGCTGCTGCCGCCGCCTCCGGGAAGCCCATGTGCTCTTTCAGCCACTCAAGATCAGCCTGAAACTATCCCCTGGACCAGCGATTCCCTGATAATTCCAGCAAGGAGGAGCATCCCGGCCGGGTCAGAGCCACGCGCCCCAGCAGGGACGTGTTTCAAAAGCATCCACCACCTCTGCGAGCTGGCAAAGGCCATTTCTCCTGGCTGCAGACCCAGCCCCGAGCTCCAGCCCACGCTCAGGGAAGGAAAAGGGATGGGAAGCGCTGCAAAATGAGAAAGGAGGATATTTGGTGTAGGAAACCTGGTCTGCAGCTGCAAACGGCCACGCTCCGGCATCAGGGCTGAGAACTGTGCACAGCTCATCACACCCAAAGTCCTCATAACCCATAGCTGTGCCCAGAGCCCCTTCTTGTGTGTTTAATTACTGCATAAGCACTGCCTAAAAATGACAGAGGAAATATTAGGGACGTGGACAGGCTAAGGATGGGAAAAGGGGTGGTTTTTTAAAGATATCACTGGTTTTAACGAGCCTTCCCTCAGTGGTGGGTCTGGAGCAGTTAAACCCCCAGCAAAGCTGAGCAGCTCCCCAGGCGTCCCGGCTGCGTGCGTGATGGGGCAGCCACCTTATCACAGCCTAATGACCTGCCCTCCCTTCCTGTAACCAAGACGGATGGCAACCGGCCTCCAGCCCCAGAGTTGGCCGAGGCGCCTCTGAGTCACTGGGAGCGGGGGAATAAATCTCTTGCCTGATGGAGAAACGCCAGCCCCAGGGAGAGCACAACCCGGCCGGCGTTCCCAAGCGGAGCCGGGACAACCTCCCAGCCCATGGCCACGGAAACGAAACCATGGGGTGGCTCAGCTGAGTCCCCATCACCTTTTAGAGGAGGAGACCCCAAAACCTCTGTCCCCTGGAGGGGACGGTTCATTGACACCCCCAGCTCCTCAGGGGCTGGGCTGGGCACCATCCCTGGCACCAGTGGGCTCCTGGGGAGAAAAGGGCTTGCAGGGGGCAGGGAGGCCAGAGCCATGCTCGGGGGGGGATGCTGGAGGTTTGGGGCAGGGGGCTTTGTCCCCTGTGGTGTAGGACAAAGTCATCCCTTGTCCCCGGGGTCCCCCTCCCCCATTTCTCACCCTGTGCCCAGTCGTGCCTCGTCCCCTACCCGGGCTGTGACCCCAGCCCAGTGCTCAGCCCCCCCCGTGCCCGGTGCTCCTGCCACACCTGTACCCAGGTCTCTCCCGGGACCCCCGTGCCCGCTGCTCCTGCATCCCCCCGTGCCCGGTGCTCACGGCATCCCCACGCCCGGTTCTCCCGGCTCCCCTATGCTCAGATCCTCCCTGCTCCCCCATTCCCGGTGCCCCCGGGACCGCCGTGCCCGGATGCTCTCGGTGCCCCCGGGACGGCCGTGCCGGGATGCTCTCGGTGCCCGGTGCCCCCGGGACCACCGTGCCGGGATGCTCTTGGTTCCCGGTGCCCCCGGGACGGCCGTGCCGGGATGCTCTCGGTGCCCGGTGTCCCCGGGACTGCCGTGCCGGGATGCTCTTGGTTCCCGGTGCCCCCGGGACGGCCGTGCCGGGATGCTCTCGGTGCCCGGTGCCCCCGGGACCACCGTGCCCGGACTCTCTCAGTGCCCGGCGCTCCCGTTATCCCCGTGCCCGCTCCTCCCGGCTCTTCTGCAGCCAGGTGCTCCCGGCTCCCCGCTTCCCCATCCTCCTGGGACCCCCATCCCCCGTTCTCCCGGTTCCCCGTGCCCGGCGCTCCGGGACCCCCGTGCTTAGATGTCCCTGCTCCCGGGACGGGCTCCCGGTGCTCGGCCGGTGCCAGGTAGAGTCCACCTCCCCTCCCCGCTCCTCCTCCCCTCTCCGCCCCGTCCCGTCCCGTCCCTCCTCCCCCGGGAAAGCGAAAGCGCGGCGGGCGGAAGCCGAGCCTTCCCCGCCGGGCCGGGACCGCACCGGGGCCACCATGGCTTCCATCGGCAACTTCTTCCGACGGAGCCTGAGGCGCTCGGTCCGCAGAGGTGAGGGTCGGGACGGGACAGCGGGGAGCGCAGCCCCCCGTCGGGGGGTGCCGGTGGCGGTGCCGGTATCGGTGGCGATGACGGGATCGATGCCGGTGGCGGTGGCCGTGCCGGGACCGGTGGCGGTGACGGGACCGACGCCGGTACCAGCCCCGGGGCCGCGGCTGCGGGACCCGACGGTTGCCGGCGGAGCGGGGACTTTCCCGGGCAGCGCAGCGCGGCGGGACCGACGGGACGGGCACCGGCACCGGGTCGAACCCCCCCAGCCCTGCCCGTACCCTCCGGAGCTCGGGCCGTCTGTCGCCGGGGTTTACTCATCTCCCGGGGCTTGCTCCATCCTCAGGGGCTCACCCCATCGCGGGAGCTGCCCCCCATCCCCTGGGAGCCAACCCCGTCCCAAACCCCCCTCCCCCGGGAGGGTTTCCCGATCCCCGGGAGGGTTTACCCCATCCCGGGGGCAGCCCCACGGGCTTCCTAATTATCGCATCCCCAAAAGCTGTTCTCCCACCGAGGGAGCGTCGCAGGGCACGGGCAGAGCGCGGCATCACGGGCAGAGCGGCCGCACAAGCTCTTGCACGGGCCGGGACGTGCCCGGGTGGTGCCAGGTCCAGCCCGTGATACCGGGCACGGTGCCCCCGGGACAGATCAGTCCTCCAGAGCCTTTAGAAGCCGATGCAGAAATCGATCCTTTTGGAATTTGTGAGCTTTGCCGAGATACGGGATGGATTTTCGGGGGTTTCTTGCCTGCCCTCTCACAACCCCCAGCAGAGCAGGTTGGGGCAACCTGTGGATTTGGGGGGGCTCACTGCGAGTTCCCCCCCTCGGGTCTGTTTTGTGCTGCCTGGCTCTTGCTCCGGGGGCGATATATGTTTTTTTTTTCCGAGCTCTACCGAAAAGCTTTGATGAAGCAAAAGGCGGTTCCTCTCCGCCGGGGCAGGTGGATGGTTGCACGGTGTGGGAAGCAGAGCTCCCCCCAAAAACCCTCGTGCCAGGCTGGGAGATTTCGGTGCACCGCAGCCCCGGGAGGAAAGAAACAGGTTGTGCCACATCACGGCACGGGTCTGAGCACAGCCTTCAGCTGATAAGAAAACTCTGCAGGATGGAGGATCGAGGAAGCAGCGCAGAAAAAAAGTTGTTTTCTTCTAACACCAGCAGCCCCGGTGCCATTTCCGCATGGGCCGGGGCGCAGCGTGGCAGCCTTTGCCCTCACTGTGCCCGGAGGAGGCAGGGGTGAAAATCCACGGCACCGGCAGCCGCTTTCCATCCAGGAGCTGGGTGACCCCCCCCAGCCCCCTCCTCGCAGGGAATCCCACTGCTGGGGGGGCTGGGGGTGGTCCCCAAGTCTTCCCCACTTGGGCTCCGGGAGAGTCATTGGCCAAAGCTCTTGTGACCCCGGGATTTACTGCACCTCCCGGGGCTTGCTCCATCCTCAGGGGCTTAACCCATCCTGGGAGCTGCCCCCCATCCCCTGGACACATCAAGGACTATGAATCCTGCCAGTTTTGGGGAGTGCTGGGACTTCTGATGCCACATTAAACCCGTCCAACGCTGCACGATGGTTCATGGCCCTGAACATCCCCAGAACTCATCTTCCAGCCCAGGGAAGGAGTATTGTGGTCCCGGAGGGATTTAGGCTCTGCTGGTGAGGGCTTTGTGATCAGCCCTGGTGCAGGGGATGCTGCCGGGTGACACCACGCTGTCGGCAGGTCTCACCACGTTGGGTCACCTTCGGGCAGGCACAGGGTCCCTCTGCGAGTGACAGACCCCCAGCCCAGCACGGCCAGTCTCCCCAGTGTGGCAGGTTTTACTGGGCTGTTTGAGAAGACCCTGGACGTGGTGCAAACCCAGCCTTTCCTTGAGAGCACGGCTTGTGTTCTCCAAAATGCAGGATGGGACCAGATAGGGCAGGATTTAACTGGACTTTCACCTTATCCTGGCAATCTGTGATGGGAAAACAACCGACACCGGCATCCAGCGAGGGTGGGGGATGCCAGAATGCTCCCCACTGCACGGCCTGGTTCCCCAGGGTCCCCCCAACAACAACCTCCTACCCCGGCCCTGTCGGTGAGATGGGACCACTGAAGCCATTGCTGGAGCATCCCAAGGAGAAGCAGCAGCAGCAAAGTGAATCTCATTGACCTATTTTCCCTGTTCCCGAGCACTTTTCTGGGTTGTCACCCAGGTGACCCCGCTGAGGACAAACCAGAGGTGTCTGCACCTGGGGTCTCACCCACAGGATGCTCCTGGGCTTCCCACTGCTGCAGAGGGACATCTTCGGGATGAATTTCACCTTGCCAAGAGGAAGGACTTTGCATGCGGAGGTGGAGTGGCCTCAGGGTGCAGGTGGGGGCAGCTTTGCACATCTCCCCGCCCCCAGCTGGGAAAGGTGTTCCTGGGAAAGGGCATCCCATGATGGGACCATAAGTGTCACCTCCTCGGATGAGCTTTCTGCTCCCATCGGCTCCACATGACCTGGAGTGAAGGGTTGAAAGGTGTTTCCAGACTTCCAAGGAGGTGACTATGGAGCTGGTTTGACAACACAGGGTGGGGTGTCCGCCAGCACTGCTTCTGGAGGAGGATGTCATGTCTGGGGGAGCAGGACGATGGGAGCAGCCATCCATGGCCATGCCTTGCCCTGCTGAGCTGTGGCACAACTAACAGAGCCCAGGGACAAACTCCAGGATGCGGGGAAAAATTGCAAGAGTCAGTTATTTCATCCAGCTACGCGTTTTTTTTCCTGCCTGGCATTCCTAGGAGCAGCTCAAGGATTTCTGTTCCAGCTCCCCACCATAACCAGAGCCAAGACCAAGCCCGGGACAGTTTCAGTGCCAGGAACCAGGGATTTAGTCTCAAGAGGGAGAGGGGAGAGGGAAGAGCTGTGGCATGGCCTGGCTGCAGCCTCTTGTGGCATTTAATTCCTCTCCTTCCCAGCCCTCAGATCTCACTGCCCCACCGTGATCGTGCCAGTGCCCTTGGAGACGTCAGCTTGGGCTCTTTTCACTCTTATTTCTGGTTTTTCGGGTCGTGACAGCTGACGCTCACCAGCTGTCCTACCCAACCGGCCGAACAAGAAATGGGGTGTAATCTCAGGGAATTACTTTGCTTTGGGAGCTGTGGTTTAGGGAAAACCCTCGAGTATCTCATTTGCAAGCAGCAGTTCCCAGGACTGAGGACGTCTGGCAGGGAGAGGCTGGGATTCATCTTGTTGGAGCCTTTGGAGGTGCTCGAACAAGATCTGTGCTGTTTGTTTGACCCTTTTTTCCCTCTCAGGGAATAAAATTAACTGCTATAAAGGCATTCCCACACCTTCCTGCAGATGCTTTCTGCAGAGACCGTCTGCTCTCCCCGTCCCACGTGCCAGCTTCGCTCTGGGCATCCCTCTGCCCTTCCTGGGATGGGGCGAAGAAGGGCTGGGAGTGTCTGACAGCACTTTGATTTTGTCCAAAAGACTCATGAAAGCCACTTCTCGTTCCCTGCCCCGCACCAGCACGTCCCCAGCTGCTCACTGTGGGGACCAAAACACCCTGTGCACCAACTCCAGGTTCTCTCCAGCCACTTTGGCCGGTTCACATGTAGCTCTGCATCCCCTCTCCTGCCATGAGGACACCTCCCGGGCTTTCATTCACTCTTGTTTTTTGGGTTGTTTTTTTCCGTTTGGCTACAGAAGGAAAAGAGGAGGATGGAAAGAAGGAAAACAACCCCTCACGGGTGCCGCAGGGGAAAGCAGGAGAGCGGAGCTCGGTCCTCTATTCCGCTGGACAGTTTTTCTTTGAGTACCTGGTGGTGGTGTCGCTGAAGCCGGTGACAGATGGACGTTATGAACCCAAGATAAGCTACCAGTTCCCAAAGGTATTTAATCCCGCGTTTCTGGGAAGATGAGTTTTCTGAATGTAGAGGAAAAGGTGATGTTGCTCCTTCCCCGTCACTAGAGCAGGGGGAGGAGAAGAGAAAAATACCGCATGTCCTGGAGTCACACACCCAAGCCCCAGAGCTTTGCCTGCAGTGGGTTGGGGTTGCTGGGACCGTCTGTCCCTCCCTGTGGTCCAAGCCCTGGGCCACAAACCCCAGAAGGAAAGTTCCGGGGTGGTCCTTCCTCTCCTGTCCCACAGGGGAGACCACAGCAGTGAAATCACACCTTGGGGAGGTGGCACAGGAGGAGA